TAGGAAGCCACCTGTTCGGCGAACGATGGGTGGCTGGACTGCTGCGACGGAGGTGCAGCAGGAGATGTTCTCACACCTCGTGGAGCTTGCGAACAGCTTCTAGCCCAGGAAGCTGAGCGCCGCTCCCATCGGCTTCTCTTTCCAGTGCAAAACGCTCTTCAAAGCGCATGTGGAACATTTGATTCTTTGGCTTGAGGTAGTAGACGAAGAGGAAGCTGCAGGGCTCCCGAGTCGTGCTCGTAGATCCTGTGCAGCTTGTCCTTCGGCAACAGGGCGCTCAGCTCTTCGATGACGGCGTCCAGCTCGTGCTGGTTGCGCAGCCTCCAGCAGCAGAGAAATTGCATGTTCACCCGCACGGCTGCGCTGATGAGCCTCAGCTTCTGGGAGCTCACCCAGGTGCTTATTTGCATGTGTCTGCCTCTGATAAAGAGCGTGTCCAGGGCGCCGTGGGCCTTGTGCAGCTGCGGGCTATCTGCGTAGTCGTCCAGGATAATCAGCACCTGGTAGAGTTTCTTCATCTCCAACTTCTTGGATGTCTCGGTGATCTTGCGCTGCCTCTGGATGATCCCCCGCAGCGCTGCCTCGTCCCACTCGTCGCAGTAGGCCTGTTCCCGCTCGGTATTAACCCCCAGGTCCTCCTCGATGTACTTCTTGACAGGGACCCAGCTGTCGTCGATATTGATGGACGGACTGAAGATATAGATTTTCTCGAAGACTCCGCGGTATTGCTCCAGAATCATGCTGATCAGCGCCACGGTTTTGCCGGACTTGCCGGGGCCGAGGAAGATACCTGTGCATGGTACCAGGGGTACCACGGGGTCCGAGGGCTGCTTACTGCCATACTCGGCCGTAGGAAACAGCTTGATCTTCCCCATACGTCCTTTGCTTTACTTCCCAAATTCGACGCTGGGAGCCGGGCAGTGAGACCGGGATAAATCTAAAGGCTGGCATGCGGCTGAAGTACATGGGAAGCAAATCATGGCTGGCTCCACACGCGGACCGGCTGCTGGGGGACGTCGCTGTGCTTCACTCTCCCTTCTTCGGCTCTGGAAAGCTGGAGTACTACCTCGCAACCCGGCGTCCGGCCCTGAAGGTGCGCGGCGTCGACGCCTTCGAGCCCGTCACAAACCTGCGCCGCTGCTACTTAAGGCAAGACCCGGTCTTCCTGGCGGGGCGCAAGATAGACAGGCGTCGGGCTGCCTGCTCATACGTCCTGCTGCGCAACAGCTTCTCGGGAAAGTGGGGCTCCTTCACACAGCAGCGGCCGCTGGGGCTGAGCAGCGTGCGGCGTATGCGGCGGCCACCGCGCAATGTGACCGTGCGATGCCAGGACGCACTGGCCTATCTACGCGCTCTGCCCCAGGCACCCCGACAGGCCATATATGCCGATCCTCCCTACATCTTCCCAGGCCGCAGCATGAACTACTATGGCACGAGGAGGCGGGGGCATGACCTGGCCTTCCACTCGGAGCTCCGAGACGCGCTCTTCGCAAGCGGCCTGCCCTTCCTCGTGAGCATCAACGACGTGCCTCAGGCCTGGGAGCTCTACAGCAGGGCCGGCTCCATCACGAGGCTGTGCTCGGGCAAGAACAGCTCCAAGCCAGAGCTGCTGGTAGTGCACCGGAACAATCCTGCTGTGAGCGCAGGAATGGCTGGAGCAATCCTGTTGCCTGCGCAGGATTGAAGCTGCAATCCTGTGCCCAACACAGGATTGCCAGGCCCGCACCAGGCCCGCACCAGGCCCGCACCAGGCCCGCACCAGGCCCGCACCAGGCCCCAATCTTCGGCGGAGAGGCTCTTAGACCGCCTTGCGCAACTTGCGGAACTGGCGACAGGCATGACCCAGATTTTGGTACATGCCCGCGTGGAGTTCCACGTAAAGTTCCGCTGCAGACTGGCCGCTTCTTTTGCGCACTTTTCGGCCCCAAAGAGAGCGGTGACGAAGCGGTGACATCGTGGTGAGAGCGTTTTTGGGCCATAAAGTGCCGTTTTGGGACGGTAACAAAAGCCGATGGTGAGATGGCATAGGCGTTGGTCTCCGGAGCGACGTCTGGGAGGTTCGATTCCACCCCGGTACCTCGGCAGGCTGACGTGTTAGACACCGGTGACATCGGCGGTGACTAATTCAGCTGGGGCCGCTTTTGCGCACTTGTGCACCCAAAAAGCGAGCGGTGACAAAGCGGTGACAAACGGTGACAAGCTCAGCGGGCTGGAATTCGCAGGCTTTTCGGGGCAGAAAACGGATTTCGGAGCACGGCGAACGCCTGGAGCCGGTTTTCGGAGGAAAACGAGCGAATTTGGAGGCCCAGGCAGCACATTTGACGTTTTCAGCGCTTTTTGCATCAAAAACGGAGCGGCGACGAAGCGGTGACATCGCTGGTGACAAGTTCAGCTGGTTGGAAAATTATGCAGTTTTGCAGGGTTTTTGGCCCAAAAATCACAAATAGTTAGGGTAGTATAGGCTGCCTTTCCTTACTACTCATGTGGTCCCTTGCGCCAGTCACATCGGTCCCAAAGGATTCCAAGGGACTGTTGGACAGCTTCTGGTTCGTTCAGGTGACGAACGACGCGGGCTGCAAACATGGCCATTTCCCCAGACCTCGACGGCGAAGAGCTGGCCATTTCGCAGGCCGGGTCAACATTCCACTCATGAAGAATACGGTCAGCAGTTTTTGTAGGATCTTCAGAAGAATCACCATCGATGTGTTTGTGCCAACCTAAGTATTGGCAAAGACCCTGTGATTGCGTTGCAAAACTGTGGTCCACGCGTGGGGTTTGCCTTACCATTGCATTGCAGTTTCATGACCCAAGCGCCAAGTCGTTTTCCCACAAGCCCATTTGTTCTATTTTCCGCTGAGCCATCTTGCGTTTAGCAATTTGTGGGTCAAGCTGGCAAGACTGCCGGATTGGCGCAGGCTCCAAGCTCGCCCCTACCGTGGCGATTTCTCGCGTGTCAGTGAAACAGATCTACTCTGTAAGCAACAAGTTCCCGAGAAATCTCCATGGCTGCCTTGCACGCAGACCGTGGAGGGTGTGGCATTTGTGGCAATCAACAAGTGAACACCTTTGCAAGATGGTGACCGGCCGCTTTTAAGACTTGAGGGCAGGGAAGGGCCACCACGTGAACTGCACCTTTTTGGAGAACTGATCGCCCAAGGAACAACAAGAAAAGTCACCCCAGCTACCGCCGCTTGGCGCCGGCCACTGACCGTGACGCTGCCTGCTGTCACGCATGGAGGCGTTTCTCCTTTGCCAAAACCATGTCCGTGCGCTGTGGACAGTGCGGAACCAACAGGAAATATTCCTGGAGCTCGACAAACAAGTCCTTGAACATCTGAGAATTGGAGTGTTGGAGAGCCGCAGGTGAAGCGGCATCAGGCAAGAGCGCCTGCAACAAAGTAGCTTGACCGTGACTTTGATGCATCATGTTTCTTTTCTTTACATGCATGACTAGCCTCATCCAGACTTCATAGAGTCACCAGTCGCAGCGCGGGACTTGACCCGTTTCATTCAATTAAGATGGATCTGGCAACGCGTGGGGGTGAGCGCAGGTTGGCCACAATGTGGGTTTTGGCAGATTCAGTGAGAGAGCATGCGACAGGCGACAGGTATAGGCAACAGGTCAGGGAGAGGCAGCAGGCAAGCACATGGCGGTTGGTTGGGTGTCAGGATTGTTTTTTGTTTTGCAGACATGTCTTTTGTTGAGGTCAAGATGTCTTATCAAGGGACTTGCTTCGTTGAAGAACCTTGCTACATGCATCATTGGAATGTATAGTTGAGAAGTTATGCATGGCGTGCGCCGCTGGCATTTCGGGGTTACTGTAGTGGACTGCACGCCGCCATGGCAAAGCCTGAGGAGCAGGACTACGAGGACGCAAAGGCGGCGCTGAGGCGAGCCCGCGGCAAGGGCACGGCGGTGGTGGAGGTGGAGCTGGGCGTGCAGGAGTGCGCGTGGCTGGAGGCAGCGCCTTCAGGAAGTGGAGGAGCCGTTATCGTTTTTGTTGCGTTTTTCGCCTGTTGCCTGAACGGCTTCTTTGTTTTGCATGTTTTGCATACATGCATACATGCATACATACATACATACATACATACACACATACAGACATACATGCACACACATACATACATACATACATACATACATACATACACACACATACACACACATACATACATACATACATACATACATAGATACATAGATGCATACATTCATACATTCATACATTCATACATTCATACATACATACTTCGAGAGAGAGAGAGAGAGACGACACACAGACGCAGATACACACACAACATTACACTGCATCAGTCCCTGATACACACATGCAAGCATACAAATCACATGTCCATTACATGGCGCACACACACACTCATTCATTCATTCATTCATTCATTCATTCATTCATTCATTCATTCATTCATTCATTCATTCATTCATTCATTCATTCATTCATTCATTCATTCATCATCATTCATCATCATCATTCATCATTCATTTCATTCATTCATTCATTCATTCATTCATTCATTCATTCATTCATTCATTCATTCATTCATTCATTCATTCATTCATTCATTCATTCATTCATTCATTCATTCATTCATTCATTCATTCATTCATTCATTCATTCATTCATTCATTCATTCATTCATTCATTCATTCATTCATTCATTCATTCATTCATTCATTCATTCATTCATTCATTCATTCATTCATTCATTCATTCATTCATTCATTCATTCATTCATTCATTCATTCATTCATTCATTCATTCATTCATTCATTCATTCATTCATTCATTCATTCATTCATTCATTCATTCATTCATTCATTCATTCATTCATTTATTCATTCAGTCAGTCATTCATACATACATACATACATACATACCTGCGCACAAACAAGCAAACCAGCAAACGAACACACAGAGACAAGGAGCCAAGCCATCGTACTATGCGCAAAGTGGCTGGCAAGACATCCACTACCCTCGCAGGAGCTGCAGCCACGCAGAACCAGCAGGGCGCGGGCGGACCAGCGCGCGGAGAACCAGCTTGGCAAGGACGCGGAGATCCAGCACGGCAGCAAGGACTGGGAGAACCAGCATGGCAAGGATGCGGAGATCCAGCACGGCAAGGGCAAGGATCGGGAGAACCAGCCCGGCACGCACGCGGAGATCCAGCGCGGCAAGGGCAAGGACTGGGAGAACCAGCACGGCACGCGCGCGGAGATCCAGCACGGGAAGGACAGGGACTGGGAGAACCAGCACGGCGTGAAGGAGGAGGGCGAGGACTGGGACAACCAGTACGGCCAGGAGTACGTGAAAGGAGGGTGAGTACGGCCAAGACTGGGACAACCAGCACGGCAAGGACCGGCACCAGTACGGCGGAGAACCAGTACAACATGCAAAACCGGCAAGTGGAGGAGAAGGGCCAGGAGACCAAGAAGAGACAGGAGGCCGTGGAGAACACCTGGACTTCGGGACGCTGGGGCGAGGACACCTGGGCCCGGAGTCGTTCCTGGGCACGCTCCTGGGATTGGGGGACGAAAGTGAAGACCAAAGGACCTGTTGTTCGTTCAAAGCATTTTTTCAATTTCTGTCAATTGCTTTTTCTATCTCCCGATCATTGGTGACTAATTTTGCTGGGACATACCAACAGCTTGAAACTTTTGTTTGAATGCTCGGCGGAGGAAAGGCCTTGGACGGTGAACGGCCAGATCACAGCGACGGCTACGGCAGCTCCAGGGACAAGGGCAAGGGCAAGCGCAAGCGCGGCCGCTACACGGAGAACGGGTGGATGGACGAGCAGGGGCACCTCCACGTGCCCGGTGGAGGCCGGTCACGGGCGAGGACGCGCAGCTTGCGAGGCGCCAGACAGCAGCCCTTGCCGAACCAGCTGGCGTCGGCAGTAGTGAAAGTGGCTGACACAATGTCGGCTTTAGTTCACCAGGGACGCAAGTGAGGCAATCGCAGTCATGGTAGCACACCAGCATTGCAGTATCACATTAGCATCAGAGCATCAGCCAGCATCAAGATGCACTCACGTGTTGCTTGCGCCTCCTTGGTTCCGTGCTGTTTCACGCATGTCCCGACCACTTCGCTGCCAGGAGTAGGAACATAGAAGTTTCAATTCAGATCGAGCCTACGGCCCATGGATCCTGGCAGTCACGGTTTCGCACGCTCTGGAGAAACACATAGGCAGGCCACCCAGCCGTTTTGCCTTTCTGAACCAAACACAACCTGGTAGCAGGGATCTGTGATCCATTGAAACCCCAAAAACCCGACCTTGCTACCGGAGTTACCACTGAAGGCGACACGTGTGGACCCACTTACACATCATGATGCAACTGGATGGATCCACTTTGCAGTGTTGCTACAGGGGTCCAGTCAGGACATTGTATCTAAGCATAGCGCAGTTGGCTATGGATCCGTAAACTCTGCCAGGCGTGCTGCCCGCCCACATCTCTAATCAATGAAACGAACATGGTGGGACTATGTGATGATTCATGGGTACTTGTTTGACCACTTCATGCATGAACTTTGTGTTCGGTTTCCGCGCCTTTTTATTGATCCATAATCGCATGTTGCTGGACTGCAGGTGATTCTACACGATGCAATGGACAACATCTCAGTTGAGAACATTTCCCCAACCCATATGGTTTGTGTTTCTTCTGAACCCAAGAGTTTATGGACATTCCCTCTGTTCATCTCCAAAGCACAAAGTTTATCCATCTAGAAACTTTTGTTTGGCACCCACGCCAAAAGTTTATCCATTTAGAAACTTTTTTCACTCACTGTGCATAAAGTTTATAGATCCATAAAATTTTGGCACACGCAGGTACACAAAGTTTCTCAATCCTTTTCTAAATCTATGAACTTTGTGTTTGGTAGCTGGCATTGGTGGATTCGAGTGGGAACCTTCGAATGTGTTATGGATAGTAGTCAGCAGACATGTTTGCATCGGCAGTCCAGCAACGGAGCCGCACAGCGGAGCCGCGCAGCGGAGAAAAAGAACAGCTTGTGCAGTTTTGGAGGCGTGGGAGCGGAGGCAGGTAGGTTGCACCTGGGGGTCTTCTAATGGGCCTGAGGTTCATGGGCTTGTTTGGCTATGGCTGTTTTAGCGTGGGACCTTGCTAGCAAGTGGGAGTGCGACGGAGGGAGTCTTATGAGAGAACATCTGGTCTTAGGGGATGCTGTAGTGGGTGTGTAGGAAAGGGGAAAGAGAAAGGGTTGATAGTCAACGTCTGGTCTGCGAGCTGGGGGACGCCACAAAGGATAGGGTGGGGCTATTAACCATGAAAGCAGGTGCAGTTCTTGGCACGCAAAGTGATGTTTCGTTTGTTTAGGGATGACAGGGCAAGAAAGCGCGCGGCAGGGGAGAAGACGGCGTGGATCAGTGAGTCAGGAAAGAATCAGATGGGCCCTTCAACCTGATCAGAGTTGCGCATGTAGGATCTGCGTAGTGCGTATGAACCCTGGGTCTAAGACATGCATGTTCTGATGCATTCAATGGAGCAGAGGTGCTGCGAACATGGTTGATGGTTGGGTTTGAGTGTGTTTGGCTGGAGTGTGAGCACGTTGTAGGCTGTTGCTTTGCGGTTCGATGGCGGCCCCGGTGGTGGAGTTTGAGAAGTGCTTTGTTCCTTTGCGGTGGTCCTTCGCGGAGGGGAAGGGCTGCCATGTGGTGAACAAGCGGTGGACGGTGTGCTGGCGGGGACATTTGCCTCGGTTGCAGAATAAGGACGACCATGTTGGTTTTTCTGGTTGGGGGGGGCGGGTCTTTCTCTGTTGTATGTTTCCGTTCGCAAGTTTGCTAGGAGCCGGTCTTTTTGAACTGCACGGGGTCTACGATGGTTGCCTTTAAGTACGTCTATGAGGATGACAACGACGGCATGTTCCTTTACAGGCGCATCTTTGATTCCTTCAAGAAGGCTCTGTTCCGCCCGGTCAGAGGCAATGTGCTGTTGGGGGTGGAGCATCCGGTAACTCGCCCACACATGCATTTGACCGCTTTGATGAGTGGCGAGCGACGCCTGACTGTGCATTGGAACCGGGCAGAGACCCCCACCTTTGGGCAGATCCGGAAGCTGGCTGCCAAGCAATTGATGGACAATGGTGCGATCACCGCCCAGCAAAAGGCGGTGCTGCTGGAGGGCAGCCCGCCAGAGGAGCCACATCCCAGCCGAAAAGTATGGCAGACCGCAACACTCAAGAGGACGTGGAAGCGCCCCTTGGGAGCCACGTCGCATGCCAAGGGCAAGAAGGTCAAGGTGGCCACCGAGCGCGATTCAAGCGACAGTGACACTGCAAACCGAAGCCGAGTTCCGAGCTCCAGCAGCTGAGGGGCGAGCTCACCGAGCTCACCTTGCTCGCTGCTGCTGCGGCGAGCTGAAAGCCCTGCCGCCCCAAGGCTGCCTTGATCTGAGCTGGCTGATTTGTGGTCAGGTGCTAGTAACGGGCTTCAGTGATCACAATCTCGGTCACTGTCTAGCATCTGCAGTTTTTGAATCGCCTGTGGCTTGGGCGTGTGAAGAATTGCTTGCTCTTTCGTCAGCTGCATTGATTTGCCAGCATGCAGGAGTGCAAATGCAATGACACACAGGCATGACATCTGTTGAAGACATGGCACTTTTGCAGCATGGCAGGGCCCTGACTGGCTCGCCGCTTTGAGCAGGGCCCTTGAAGCTCGCTCACATTGCTGCGACTGCTGAAAGCGTTTGTGGATCTATAGGTTTCCAGCCCTTGGCCATGTCGGGTTTTGTCAAAGAAGTTGGAGAGATTCAAGACTACTTGGCAGCCCGCGGTGCATCGGCGGCCGGTCTGCGAGAGCAGCGATTTGCCGTGCTTTTGTTGCGCCTGGAGCGCATGCGGCTCACACCACTAGAGGCGGCAGAAGTTATGCCTCATCCCAATGGACCGCCGATCAGATGGAGAAGTTTGGGAAATCCCTGGACCGGTGTTTGCAGCACGCCAAGCCGGCGCGATGGCAGATGCAGCAATGCGTCAACTTCGGCCCATACTTCTCGCGGAGGACTGAGGGTTTTGCGGGAGATCGATAGCTATTGTTTTGACTTTGTTTCACAGCGATGTGAATGTTTCTGGTTGAAGTGTATGGTATCACAAGCCTGATGAAGATGTCCAGCCTCACTAGAATGTGTTAGCTATATCGGTTGAGCTTCAGCCGCATTGATCCCATCACTGCCAATCAGCTTGTTCTCACTGCCAGCTTGCTTTTGACAGTACTTTATCACCAGCGTGGATCCCATGCGTGATTTGCTAGACACGGTCCCATGAACAGAAATCAGCTTGATGAATAGAATGTGAACATTCTTTTGTGGAGTTTGGGTGTGCTTCTCCCTTGATACAAATCAGCTTTGATGAGACGAGAGTCGAATTACTCATGGCCAGAAAGCATTTAGTTGTCGACAATCACGTTCGTTTGCGGTTTTTGGTGCTTTTCTCTGCCAGCACCGATCCCTGATGCAATTCAGCTTGGATGAGTCGAATTATCCATGGCCAGAACGCAGCTAGTTGTGGACAATCACATTCTTTTGTGGTTTTGGGTGTGTTTCTCCACCAGGGTCAATCCCCTGATGCAAATCAGCTTTCATGAGTTATGAATCGAAGAGAATCGCATTATTTTCTGGTTTTGGACGTTTCTCCACCACAAATCGAATCACCCATGGCCAGAACGCATGTAGCTTTGGATAATCACATTCTTGGGTGTGTTTCTCCACCAGGATCAATCCCCTCACGCAAATCAGCTTTGATGAGTCGAATTGCCGCTTTTAGTTGTGGACAACACCAAGCATCGATCCCACCAACGCAAAAACAAGTGATGAGTGATAGGATTCTCGCTTCAGTGTGCTTTGTTAGCTTCTAGTGTGGTATGCCACCAGCGTTCCATCCGTGCAAACCTCTTGCACAAATGGGATTGCCGTTCCCAGATCTGTCAAGTGCCCTTGCAGGGACCTGGCGGTTCTTGGATCGACCGCCGTTCCGTTGATGGCCAAGATTGAGCAAGTCAGCACGCATGGTTCGTGTGGGGTTGCATCTACCTAGCGAAGAAGGAGCGTGGCGCGGTGTCCTGACTGCCAGCTTGCAGGCGGGCGTTGAGGCAACCGCGCCACAGAAACAGCTGCAGCTTCTTCAGCAGCTTAAGAGGGTGCTGAAGCTGCGGCTTCGTAGCCTGCCTGCAACCAACCTTCTGCCAGAATTCCCTGCGCACGTGCCGGAGTCTGTGCTGGCCACATATGACGCGGACGATCCACCTGCAGGGCAGGGGCTTCAGGAGACCTCCGGCGCCACCCCGTTGGCCCTTCGACGCACCAGCAAGTTGATCAAGAGCCAGGATCCTTCCCAGGAGCTGGCCACCAACCAGAACAATCCTGCGCAGTTCATTAAGTTCATGGCTTCCATGCAGGGTGGTGTGGCAGAGGAGATCCCCTCCCTCCAGATCTTTGCACCCAAGAGCAAAGCTCCCAAGGCCCTTCCAAATACGGCTGCAGACAATCCAGCTCCTCCGTCCTCCCAAGCTGCTTTGCCGACTTTGCCGGCGCCAGCACATCCACGTCTCCCACAGTCCACCACGGCCCCTTCTGATTCGGACTCGCAGGAGAAGACGCTGCTCTCCCTTCCTCCTGCCCTTCCAGCGATGGACCCGGCTGAACAGGCAGCCATGGTGACGCAAGCGCTGACAGAGCGCGAGGCTGCCAAGAAAGCAGACAAGAAGACAGCGCCTGCGAGCAAAGCAACGGCAAAAGCAAAAGGAAAGGCAAAGGCGAAGGCAAAGGGGCAAGCAAAGGCGGCG